TGTTTATCTGTCTGTCCGCCCGTCCGTCCATCCATCCATCCATCCATCCATCCATCCATCCACCTACCTACCTACCTACCTACCTATCTATCCAAACAGATAGAGAGATATGTCTATGTCGATGTCTATGTTTATCTGTCCGTCCGTCCGTCCGTCCGTCTGCCCATCCATCCATCCATCCATCCATCCATCCATCCATCCATCCACCCATCCATCCATCCATCTACCTACCTATCTATCCAAACAGATAGAGAGATAGATATGTCTATGTCGATGTCTATGTTTATCTGTCTGTCCGCCCGTCCGTCCATCCATCCATCCATCCATCCATCCATCCATCCATCCATCCATCCATCCATCCATCCATCCACATAGATAGATAGATAGATAGATAGATAGATAGATAGATAGATAGATAGATAGATAGATAGATAGATACACACACCCATTGGTACTTAAGTTAAATTTAGCCTTAGCAACGGATCTCACTGGATAACTTTGGCCTGATCATTTCCAATGTTCTGTTAGCTAATATAGCTCTTAAAAAAAAAGAACCCCTGAACAATCATTCCTGGTCATCTTGCACCTTGAGAGCAAGATTTTAAAATAAATAAAAAGTAAAGCACCAGTCATAAATGAATCTGCCCTTTTGTAACCCAACTGATCCCTCCCATTGATTTTGCTATTTTAGCTTGATCCTACCTCTTCCGTCCATGAGAAGAATACAATGGTTGTAAGCAGTCAGCAAAATTGGTTTTGACAGACTTTTTGATTAAAAGGGGTCTTTTTAGACCCTTATATTATTTGTATTTGCTGTGAACTGCCCAGAATTACATCGTATAAAATGGTTATCTATATAAATCTTATAAATAAATAAATGCATACATAAATAAATAACAGCTGCATTCCCCGATACAGATGCTGAGCCGATAGGGGGGGCATATAGATCTTATAAATAAATGAACAGGTAACTGTTGCATTAAATATCTGACATAAAACAGAGGTTTTTGATGAGGTGTTGAGGGACGCCTAATCCCGAACAAATCAACTTTTTGAATGGATGAATTCCTGTACGAGGTTGAACATGACGTGCAAACTCAGTCAAGGTGTTTTAAGATTTCTGAATGAATACATTAATATATTGCACATCTTGCAAATCCGGAAGTACAGGTAGTCCTTGGCATACATCAGTTTGTTTAGTACCATTGAAAGCTACAACGGCACTGAAAAAAGTCATTTATGTTTTTCACACTTATGACCATTGTGGCATCCTCATGGTCACATGATCAAAATTCAGATGCTTGGCAAATGGTTCGTACTTATGACCTTTGAGGTGTTGTATCCTGGGGTTCATGTGATCCCTTTTGGGGACCTTCTGATAAGCAAAGTCAGTTGGGAAACCCGATTCACTTAGCCACCATGTTACTAACTTAACAATTGCAATGATTCACTTAACAACCATGTTACTAACCTAACGACTGCAATCATTCACTTAACAAATGTGACAAGAAAGGTCATAGGTAAAGGTTCCTCTTGCACATATGTGCTAGTCGTTCCATACTCTAGGGGGTGGTGCCCATCTGTATTTCAAAGCCAAAGAGCCAGCGCTGTCCGAAGACGTCTCTGTGGTCATGTGACCGGCATGAGTAAATGCCAAAGGCACACAGAACACTGTTACCTTCCCACCAAAGTTGGTTCCTATTTTCCCCACTTGCATTTTTTAACGCGCTTTTGAACTGCTAGGTTGGCAGAAGTTGGGACAAGTCATGGGAGCTCACTCCGTTATGTGGCACTAGGGATTAGAACTGTCAAACTGCCGACCATTCTGATCAGCAAGCTCAGCGTCTTAGCCACTGAGTCACCATGACCTTTATGAAAGGTCATAAAATAGGGCAGAACTCGCTTAGCAACAGAAATTTGGGGGTCAGTTAGGGTCATATTATGGACAAGATGGTGGTGGAATGAGGGGGAAGTCACTTACTCATAAACGGTTGTCCATCCATACTCGTTGCTTTTGGTGGCGAGAAGTCCAGTGGTGCCAGGATACGTCATTAGGGCTAAATTGTAGCCCTGAGCATAAACTCTTTTGAGAATGCCGTTGCTACTGATGGTCAACCAGTACACTTGCCCTCCCGGCATCACCATCCAAAGCGGTAAGCCACTGGCGTCCCTGCGAATGTGCACCGAGTGTCCATTGTTACTGGTAACGGTGCCGAGCTCACCTTCCCCGTTATACGTGAAGTTATACAGAAAGTCTCTCGTAATCAGATTGAGGGTGTGCAGGTGAGTCCCATTGTTCGTGAATTGATAGAGTTCCTGATCAGCTGGAGATGCTATCTCATAAATGCTGGCATCGTTGAGGTGAGGCTTATTTTGGCTAACAGCACGAATGCGGATGTTCCCAAGGTCGGCGATGTACAGAGTGCCGTCAGGAGACACAGCGAGGGAAGAGGGCGCTTTCAGCTTGGCGTCTTTAGCATATCCACCATCGCCTGAAAGATAGAAAGAGAACAGAGTTGACCATGCAAATCTGCAATGGTTAATCAAAAGAAAGAAGGTATTAGGGTTTCAAGTTGTTCTGACCTGGGCTTCACAAGAGCATGAAGAAAACTCCTTGTCCCGACAAAAAACCCTTTTATTAATTTGCTGTGAATTCTGCTCATTCACATCCAGCAAAGTCTTTTAAGGGAAGATTTACAGTCACAGACCTTATCTGGCTTGGAGAGCTGACAGGCAGATATCTGCAAAACTTGGCAAGGAGTATCGGAGAGTCACGAACCAATGAAGCGAACTAATTGTCTCCTGCAAACTCCACTCCCATTTCACTCCTCTTTTATTTCCTCTGGGAGGGGCCATTCATTGGCCTTACTCCCAAGTCGACTCCTGTTCTTTAGGTGTTCCCTTCGTTTGTCAACTCTGTGCATGCACACACTCAGAACAGACTCCAGCTGTTTGTCTGCCTCACAGATGTCTGACTTTGAAGGCAGCTGATAACTGGCATAGGGCTCTGCCCCCCCTCTGCCTCCGACACAGAGCCCTCATCAGAGCCTTCCACAGACTACAGGACTGGCCCATGTTCCTCCCCAACCTCCTCACTGTCTGAATCTGCTGTCAGCTCTGCTGCCCGCTGGCAGGCCACAACACAAGTAACAAACCCAACACAAGCAAAACTCTGAGGCCCGGAGTTTCCTCAAACTATGGATTTATTAGGAATGTCACATTGGCACAGCTGGTGAAACACCCGACTCTAAAAGACCTGAGGTTTTCCCCACCCAAACTAAAACACAAAGCACTTGCCCCCAGGTCACAAGTCTGCCACGGGGTCCAATAAGGTCACAGTCCCAACTCCAGTTGGTTTCAGTCCACAGTTTCCCAGCAGCTGGTAAGAACGTCCTTGGTGAAAGAATTTTACTTGGGCTACACATCCCCAGTTATCACTGTCTCGGCCCTCCCGTTCCCACAGCTTTTACTGGCCCTGCTGTGGCAGCCCTGAAGATGCTCCAATTCAGGTCTGATAGAAGGAGTAGAGGAGACATGATAGCAGTATTCCAGTATTTGAGGGGGTTGCCACAAAGAGGAGGGGGTCAACTAATTTTCCCATTTCCATTTAGCCCTTGGTTGCATTCCCACATGATGGTGAGCCAGGGATCTTTTCAAACCTCCTTAAAACATGCCACAATAATTTGGTCCCCATGGAACAATAACCCAGAGATGGGTAGATGCAGGACCTGTGGTAAGCTCCAGACAAAACGATTGTGCTGTGATTTATTATTACATCCAACTTTGGATGTTGAGTATTGCACGCGCAGCCCCGCTGTTTTGGAACCTCGTACATTCCAAACTGACAAAAACGCAGTGACAATCACAGCAGAAAACATTACGTTGGCAGCATTACACTGTCATCCACAAATGCAATGACACATTGAGTCAAAATCCTTTTATGCAGTAAGTGACGAGAACGCAGATGTGCTAAAATGATTGCATTACATTTGAGGCCTCTGATTTAGACCAATCCGAACAGGAAGTTTAGATAGGTATTAGATTTGATGTTTGTTGGTTTATCTATCACTCTTCTTAATCCCCCATCTTGCTCAGAGACGCACTCTGGGAGATGTACAATTTAATCAATAAAATTAAGCATTTAAAGCAGAATAATTTAAGATTATTATTTTTCATATGTATGTATGTATGTATGTATGTATACATACATTATAAAATTACAAAAATTGGAGAATTCCAATAGGTAGCAAGGGGTTAATTCCTCCCCAACCCATCATGTTAAGATTTACTCTGAATCTGTCAGGCGCAAGCAGCCAGAATACTCCAAGAATGGGTCAAATAGGTTATTATTTCTTATTATTGTTTATGCAGCCTAGAAGTGTGTTGGCTTTTTTGGCAGCTTCTGATTAGAATACAACCTTCTAATCAAATTGTCTAGCCCACTTGAGGAGCTCCAAAGAAGAGAGTTCTCCATCTCTCTGTTCTACTCTTTAAATATTTTTAGTATTGGGAAATAGTAAATCCCACCCCAATCTGGCTTCGAGAAGCCGCTCTTTCTATATAGGGTTCTTTGCTGTTGATCACTTGTTTACAAGAATCTCGGCAGATTGTCTTCAGCAAATATAGATCTAAGAGTTTGATCTATATATTAGCAAAACTCAAAATTTTGCTCCCCTCAGTGGACTCAAAGCTGGAATTCTGTAGAGATTCTCAGTCACCCAGGTCATGGTTGTCCCAAAGGTGCTTTTTAAAAAGGCAACTGAACCTTCTAGTTTTTGTTTCTTTTGAAGACATTTTGCTTCTTATCCAAGAAGCTTCTTCAGCTCTGACAGGTTAGTGGGGAATGAAAGGCTTTATATTCCTTGCAGACAGCTGGTCATTTGCATCCTTTTAGAGAGTCCTTGAGGTCACCTGGAGGTTTATCTGTGTCCTCAGGGTCACCTGAGCGGTGCTCCTGGTTCCTACAATCTGCAATTTTTCCTCTGGAAATCCATTCCAACTCCCACACCATTCAATGGGTTTTCATCCCAAATTGTATAGTTAAAAGTCTGTAGAGATTCTCAATCATCCAGGTCATGGTTGTCCCAAAAGTGCTTTTTCAAGAGGCAACTGGACTCTCTTGTTTTTCCTTTGAAGATGGTTCTCTTCTCATTCAAGAAGCTTCTTCGGCCAGAATGTTGTTGTTTTTTTAACTTCCCCTATTTGGGCTTCCTCTCCCACAACCAGTGGTTCCTCCACAGAATTGTTAATTGCATTCATAGAACTGGGTCTCCCTCATCAGTTGCATTATTAAATCATAGGGCTGGAAGGGAGCTTTGGAGGTCTCCTAGTCCCAGGCAGGAGTCCTTATAACAAACTTTGCCAGGGTTCCAAATAGCATCCAAGAATCCAAGGCAAAGTATTGCTCAAAGTTCCAATTTATTAAGAGAGCCATGTTGGCACATCTGGGAAAACCCGA